AAGCCGCATGTTATTTATGAAAACTAGGTGAGGCCCAGCTTTTATTTTTAATGAGCTGTCTTCATATGAAAGACCATCATTCCTAGGGACATATAAGTGTGACTTTCATTGTATCTGTGAAAGAAATTTCTAACTTAAAAGAATTACCTCAGACAATCATATGTTGTAGGCAGACAGATTTAATACCTTATTATGGTCTGTGTCACCCTGTGCTGTGACTTTGTTCCCCTTTATAAAACACTCTCCTGTTCCGTGTTATCTCCATATCCCAGTGAGCACTAGATGTACCATAAACATACACAGACCTGTTTGAATAAGAAAATAAATGAGTGAATGCGTTCAATGGCCTGCCAGTCAATCAAGAAAATCATACGCAACTGTAATAAGTAGAATTTCTGAGTTGATATTATTATGGCAATTTTTGATGTCAGAACATTTCAAGTGCAGCTTCTGGGAGAAGACATCCTCCGGAAGATCAAGAATGGCTTCTGCCCTGCTGCCTCTCCATCCTTGAAGACGTGAATCAGTTTGCATGCGGTGGACTCCAAGTAGCAGAAAACCCAAGTAACAGTAGCTTAAACTGTAAGGACACGCGTTATTCATTCACTTATGGAGAAGATCAGAAGTCAGTGACCCCCTGGTGGGTTCAGCATCTCAACCGTAGCCTCCTCCATCCTTCCCTCTGCCCCCTTCTTCTTGTTGCCACATGGTCCCCAGACGGAGGCCACAGCTCCGTGCATCACATCCTCACTCTGCGTCCCAAGGCAGCAGTGCATCTGTGTTGGAGGGGAGGGGAGGGCGGTACATCCAGGGCAGTGAGAGAGGACGATCTTTCCCAGAAACCACCTGACCGACTTTCTATTCCATCTCGGGTCACATACCTTCCCCGAGACCTATCGCTGGCAGAGGGGAATGAGATGGCTGGGCGTAAGTCCAGCTCACCATGATTCATCTGACTTCTGTTTAAAAAGAAGAAAGAGGGAGTGAATGTTGGGTAGGCAACTAGAAATTCTGCCGCGCCACACCTAGTCTCCAGCTGGAGAATGCACATCAGCTGTGTCGTCCAGGCACCCCTCCAAGAACTAACTTTTCTTCCAAGATTATATCCTGGCTATTTACATCATTTTACTGATGGTTTTTAACAATCATGCATTTGAGGAGGAGCCTAAAATATATGGCCTTGCCTAGAATTACAGGCTTCCATGAGTCATGTCCCTTCCCTGCTCAGGGTTTGGGTTCCTGTACCCTGGAACGTTTTTATGCATTATAATTTACAAGATCCATGTTTTTTTCCATTTGAAGCCGTATGAAAGAGGATATGAAAGAGTTCTTAGGACTACAGCACACTTATCCAAGAGGAAGTAGGTTGTGTCAGCTGCGAGAAACACATCAAAGGTCTTCGCGTGTGCATCAATTTGCAACACCGGTTGTCAGAGTCCACGATATTTTGTGGTTTGGGGAAATTTTTGATCCATTTAAGTGAATACCGTAGCATCTATTTCAGTAACTGGACTGATTTACTTGAGCTCTTTCTAGATGAAATCAACCCGTGAAGGAAATGCATTCCAAGTCCTTCTCAACACATACTTGAAAGAATTCAGCAGTTTATCAACTTGCCTAGTGAGCAATGGCTCTATCACATACTTCCTCAAATAATAGGCCTTCCCCAGTAGTTGTTCCAGTGTCTGTGCTGGGTTGAACTGTCCTAGACTTCCTGCCTTGTACCTTTCACAAATCATTGTCAACTCACGTAAGAGATGCCCTAAAATGGCTTTGAAAACCTCTTGTCAGATGAGCCCCTCCCACCCACCTAGAGAAACAGACTCCAGTGAGTTTAATGGCATTCGTGAAATGACACAGACTTAGACAAACTCCCCAAATGCCTTGGTTTTAAGTAAGTATCCTTGGAGCTTTATGATATGTGTTTCTCTGGAATGAATCAGGTTTGAGCTGATGACTGGTTTTGTCAAGAATTTGTCAATTTTGAGACATCTCTAGACTCCCATCTGGGGTTGGTGTGGGGCTGCCTTGTTGTTGGCAGTGTGAGCAGTGCCATTTCCCAGCAGATGGTCTGGCAAGACACGCAGGTGGCAAAGAACACACCGGTTCTTTTCTGCCCAGAAGGTGAATCGCAAATTTTCTGCCTCCCTGATGGCCCATTATAGGTGTCTCTGCAACTTCAAGACTGTGATTTTGGATGTAACTAATGGGGGCTGTTTGAGAGGCTTTTTCCTTTGCCCTGTGCCATCATTTTTAGTATTTGTTCTTAGAAGGCTGTTCTCTTATAGCAGAATAACTGGATTGTGTGACGTGCCTAAAGGAGGTTCATTTTTGATGGAAGTTATTAGTCATGTAGGAATTTTCTTTCTATTTGCTTCTTCTGAAGTTCTTTTATTTATTTTTAATAAATAATATACACACACACCCTAAAGTGAGGAATGGTGTTTAGAACAATAATTCCAATAATACTGCCATTGCCCAGGCCATTTCTGGAACTTCATCTTTTAGAATCGGTCTGTAGTGTCACAACTCTTATAAGCAAATGAGTCTCATTGTTGTAAAATTACACCTGGTTTGGACTAAAACCCTTTATTTGCCAGTTTTTGAATCATTGAATGAGTTAGAGCATGGCAGTGTTAGGTAGAAATTATTTAGTTCAGCCCCCTTAGTTTGTGGTGAGAAGGTTGAGGCCCCGACCTCAGCCTTTTTTTTTTTAATGGTGAATTTTTCCATTTATTTGTCTTCTTTAAGGTCTCTGTATAACATTTTATAGTTTTCTTTATAGAAATCTTACATATTTTATATCACTTATTCTTAAGTACTTGATTTTTTTAAATTGAAGTAGTCAGTTATAATGTGTCAATTTTTGGTGTACAGCATAATGTTTCAGTCATACATATACATACGTTTATTTGTTTTCATATTCTTTTTCATTCTAGGTTATTACAAGATACTAACTATAGTTCCGGTGCTATACAAAATAAATTTGTCTTTACCTATTTCATATATAGTAGTTAATATTTGCAAATCTTGAGTTTATCCCTTACCCTTTGTTACCATAAGATTGTTTACTTAAGTACTTAATTTTTAAAAACTCCTATAAATACTCTCTCTTTTTAAGAAACTCATTTTCTAATGGGGGGACTGGTATACAGAAATGCAACTGATTTTTATATTATTGGTGTACAATAAAGACTAGAGCAGAAATAAACAAAAGAGAGAACAGAAAAACAACAGAGAAAGCAAAACCAAAAATTGGTTCTCTGAAGAAATCAACCAAATTTCAAAACCTTTAGCTAGACAAGAGAGAGAACTCGAACCACTAAAACCAGGAGCGAAAGAAGGGGCACCACCAACCTTACTTGCCGAAGGGAACAAAGCAAATTAGCAAATAGTTCATACCAGATGTCAACTCCAAGTATCCTTTGGCTGTTTTTGAAAAATCAAATCTATTTTTAACGTGTAGATAATTGCCACCATTAAAGATCTTAAAGTTGGCCATGGATTCTGCCGATCCAACCAGAAGCAGTCCAGAAGTGTTTTGAGCAGCCTTATGGTCATAAATGTATCTCTATGTATGAAAAATAAGTTTGTCGTCTTATTATAATAGGTGTATTTCCATATGTAAGTTCCACTATGTTTGTTTTAAAACGTCAGTGAGATGGTAGTCGTCGCTTTACTATAGATTTCTAAAATTGACAACAGAATAAAACTCTACAAAATTTTGAAATGTTTCTTGTTTTTCTCATTTCTCACAGCAAACATCCGCCGGACACTACAAAGATAAGCAAACAGTATCTCCTGGGCGGAAGCAAACTTATCCTTGTACTGTGCTGTCCAGTGAGATAGCCACCAGCTACATGTGGCAACTGAAACTTCAATTTTAATTAAAATTTAATATTTAAAAATCACATCCTCAAGTATTCAATAGCCACATTGGGCTGATGACTACCATATTAGATACTTCAGATATAAACGTTTCTATCAACACAGAAATTATATTGGTTAGTGCCAGCCTAGAATTCATTTTTTTTTTTTAGGAATTCTTGTAGTCCGTATACATGTTTCCATTCACTACCTGTCTCTTACACTACCTCTAGAAAAGTTGGACAGTGGTGGCAAGTTTGGGGGAAAGTATTTTAAATGTTCATTTATTCTCTAAATGTTGTTAGCTATTCTGCATAGTTTAATTTTTTTTAAAGGAGAAAAAATGTATTTTCCCCCATCTTTCGAGCATGATTACATGTGTGGGATTCATATCAATTGTCATGTCCTGGCTGCTAAATTTTCTTCAGGTATGCTGAAGTTCTGGCAAATGCTCTGTTAATGCTGCCAAAGCTAATGGCAGAAAGGTCTAGTTAATTAAAATCTCTTTACAATGTCATAACATTTGAAATGAACTAGTCTAGACATAAGACAATAGAAGTTATGTTGAATGTATTCTTAATAGCCATTTTCTTTGCCAAGGCCTTCAATTACCTACCTACCTTCGTTCATCCTAACATCCAGGATGGAAAGGCAGATGGGTCAGCTCTGAAGATTGGCCTGGCCTCATGCTTCAGGGCCATTTGCAAGCTCCCCTGCTCCCTTGTAAGCAGTTCAAGGGCGGTGACCAATCCATCATGGCTTTAGCAGGCCCCATGGTCCTTCCAGTGATGTACTGCCAGTACATTTTCTGTATGTCTTATTTTAACATATAAATACATATTTGAGCTGGTCTGCCCTGAAAACCATTCTATCTGAGAGCAGGCTCATAGGGTCCACAGATGTAACTGCTTCAAGTTCTTTCTATTGTGGAGTAATATCTACCTAGCTGACCGCTAGGATGGTATTCCTGCCTGGTTATCGGTCCTTTTGGTGAATCTATGCTGAATTAAATTAGGGACCAATGAAGGAGCCACAAGCTCTCTCAGGGGAAGGCTAAAGTGCCACTTATTCTGTTTGATTCACAGGAATAGTAAATCCAGTTTTAAAAGAGAGATGAACTAGGAAAGCTGTAACATACCATAATAAAATTAGAGTGGGTCCAGAAAAGAAATACATGGTTTTTAGTGTCCATGTGTATAACATCTATCACTGAGGCACACGGACATACATTTTCTGTTCTTCTTTTCTATATATTTTATATAAAATAATGTTTCTCTGAGGAATGGGGTATCTTTGAAAATTAAATAGGTCAGTGCATATCTGCTGTGACTTTGCTGGAACAGGTGGGCTGTGGTCCTTTTAAACTATCAAAAGAGTGCCAGTCCCCGGCGAGATCCATCTTCCCTGCCTGGGTAGGTCTTATTCTTCACATAATGCTCAAGGCGTATTCTGCACAAGGACAATTCTGAAGCTGTCACTCAGTCCAGTTCTTTTTTTTTTTTTAAGAATTTTTTTAAATTAAATTTCTCTCTTTCCCAACTAAATGGATGTTAAATCTGGTGACTTTTTTGCCAGAAACTAACAGCATCTGTTGTGTCCTGTGGCCTGAGATTATGAGATACCTTAAGGATTGGGGAAAAAGAATTCTTCTTTGCGTCCTGCACTTCCTGTTGCTGGTCATGGAGAGTGTTAATGTCTTATTCCTTCATTTTCTAGATAACAATCAACAGAGAGAGCGGTGAAGACGTGAGTTCCCCCAAACACGGGAAGGAGGACCCAGACAACATGCCTCACGTGGGCGGCAACACTTGGGCAGGCGGAACAGGTTGGTAGCACTGTGTTCTCCTGGGTCGGGCTTCCAGAAACTTCACGAGCCCATGTGGACAAGCACACCGCCCCGAGAAGGCTCAGGAACTGTCTTGCCTTCTCTGCCTCCCCCATCAGTCAGCTGGATTGTGCCTTTGCCCTCTGTCCCAGCCCATGTCAAGACACGGGAAAAACCCTGGCATGTGATGTCCCGAAGACTCCGCTACCCTTTGACCTAAGACCATTCCGGCCCTCCTGGGGTTACTTCATCCATCAAAGGGGGATAACAGTATTAACTGCCTCACAAGGTTGTGGTGAGGATTAAATGAGATTATGATTGTAAAGCACTGGGCTCAAGACCTGGCATGAAGAATGGATTCATTAAAAGTGTTAATTCCTCCTTTTAAATTCCATGCCCTTGGGATGGTGCCAGAAATCTACAGTAAATTCTCTCTTGGCTAGCTGACTTTGAAAAGAAATGGTCCTTGTCCTCCACGTCTCGGAAGTGAGTCTGTGGAGGATGCAGGATTTTGAGCTAAGGGAGGTGGTTGCGGGTTGAGCCGATGGCTGGGGTCCATCCCTTCCTCTTGGCTGTCCCACGACAGTATTGTTCCCAAGAACACTGCCTTCCTCTTTCCTGCATGGCAGCTGGAGCAGACACATCTGCTGGGCCGCAGGAACAGGGCCAGACAGCGTGCGCACCGTCTGATCTTATCTCGGCTGTGAGGAGCGCTGGCACCAGCCCCACTCTTCGCCTTCCCTTAAGATGGCCTGTGCCTCTCGGCCTTGACGGCCTCAGGAGGAAATGGGTTTCTGGACTGGGACAATGTGCTATCAAATAGGCCTGGGGACTTCTTGCATGCCTGCTCTGTTTATTCATCAAGCATCAGCTTTACAAAGGATATTTTTAGAAAATGTCCTTTGATCTGGAAGTTAGTGTCAAGCCAGCAAGATTTCATCCATATGGAATGCATTGTGGACCGAGCTGGCCGGAGTGAGGTTCCCAGCAGTGGGCTACTCTGGAGCAGGGATTCCTGCTTGTTATTCTGCTGTGTCCCCCAGCTCACATATCTGTCCCGGCTGAAGACCCAAATTTTGCTTCCCCACCCCAGCCTTGATTTTTCAATTTATCAAGGCTCCGTTGCTTCACATTCCTTTTCTTTTCCTTCAGAAATCCTCTACATTGAACTTAGCTCTGACTCAACAAGTCATTTGATTCCTTTTCTTCTTTTTTTTTCATTTATTAATAGCTTTCTTTTATTGAAGTATAGTCAGTTTACAATGTTACATCAATTTCTGATGTACAGCTCAATGTTTCAGTCATACGTATACAGACATATATTCCTTTTCATTCTAAGCGAACTAGGCCAGAAAGAGAGCGAAACATACCATATGATGTCACTTATATGTGGAATCTTAAAAAAAAGAAAAAAGACACAAATGATTCCTTTTTCATCATCAAAACCCCTACGTTGCCTTTCTCCCTCCCCCTTGTCTTATGAACAGATTTAGGATGCTCAAGATTAGCTTCAAGATTATGCCTTGGAGTCTAGAATCTCTGGCAAACATTTTCATGTAAGTAGTACAAATTAAAGGCTCTTGGAAGTGGAAGTCATGAAGAACTCTGTCCCCTCGCCCTCTCCATCCCAGGATGACTTTCCCAAGGGACCTTCACTTTCCCATGCTGACTATCACTCACACCAGCCCCTAAACAGTTGTGGTCCTTTCCTTCTTCCATCAAAAATGATGTCATCCCAGCACCCGGGAAGTTTAGCTCTCATTCATGATCCACCCATACCTAAGGAGAGCCTCCAGTAGGAAGGGAGTCAGGTCCCAGAAGCGGCTTCTCCACCTCTGTAGCTCCTCATCCTTGTCCAGGTACCGGTCCCCTCTGCCTGTAACTGTCCCTGGGTAAAAGCCAGGAATCACACATGTCTAAGACAGAATTTTCCATCAGCAATTTCCAAATAAAAATGAAATAAGATGTGCTCAAATTAAAGGATAAAAAATACTATAATTAATAGGCTGTTCTCACGGTATTTCCCAAAAGGAAATGCCCTACCTGGACTTTGATAAGGGAAGCTATGCATGCTGAGTTCTTGCTTTTGACTTATTACACCAAGCAAGGCTTCAAGGGAGAAAAGAAAAATGTATCATAATTTAACCAAAGCCTGGAAATTTCCACTTTATAAAATATAGAAATGACTCATTGTATGTGCCTGGAAGTTGTCTAAATAATAATAATACGAGCAATCACTTACAGGGCTCTTCTTTTGTGCCAGATACTGTTGTAAGTGTTCCAGCCTTATGACAGTCCCGTGAAGTAAACAATATTAGTATCTCCATTTTATAGATCAAGAGACTGAGACACAGAGATGTTAAGGAACTTCCCTCAAGGACAGGTGACTCACATTGGAGCCAGGATTCAAACTCAGGCGGTCTGATTTAACCATGCAAGACTGTACTGTACGATACTAGTATGCCACACTAATCCATAATGTAATTAATATACAATATTATGCTGCCCCTCCAATATTATAGTCTCTTCTAAGTCCCCAAGTTATGTGAATGAACAAAAGAAACTGATTTCTAGTATTTTCATTATTATAAAGCAGGAGTAATAAACTGATAGCCCAGAGGCCAAATCTAGCCAATATACGTATTTTGGGGATCGACGTAGTGTTTAAAATAATTTGAATTTGAATGTATTTAGACAAGGCAAGTCCTATCTAGTTAGTCAAGTTCTCACTGCTTCTTATAATATTACCTACCTAGTCTTCTAGGAGTTTATATTTATAAAATAATGTATACAGTGTTACATAACACACATTTGAGTTTACATTGAAAAACTGTTCTGAGGCTGACAGTGTTTATCTGTTATATATTATTCAAGCTAAAAGTCAAACTTAGTATAATAATTGGCTTCTGATCTTGGCTAAGCCACTGATACGAAGTCATGAGTAGGTCGCTTAACCTCTTTGAGCGTCATTTTTATCATTTGCCAAACAGAGGAAACACTATCTATAGTCTAGCCATCTTTCTTTTTTTTTTAAAAGAAAAATGAGGTAACATGTGAGGGGAGAGGAGTGTTATTCATTTAATTAACAAATATATACTAAGTATTTATGATGCTCACGCCACTCCCTTAGGTACAAGGTACAAAGATATACAAAATATAATCCCACTCACCCTGGAGGTGGTGAGAAAAGAAAAATGAATTTTAAAACATAACAAATAGTGCACAGGAGCGTTGACCCCTGTAAGGCGGAGTCCTCAGATGAGGTGTCGTGGAATTTGGACTGAGCCTTGAAATGGGGGTGGGATTTGGCTGGATGGAGACGAGGGGGACACCCTGTGTTTCCAGAAGAAGGGCTTTGGAATATTTAATGACTAGCTGAGTACAATGAATATGCTTCACAGGACTACCTCAGAGCTGTGATCTGACTTTCTGTTTTGTGGTCGGGATGAGCCTTACAACCTGGACTCTCACGGTTTCCTCCCAGGAGGAAGAGACACTGCCGGTCTGGGCGGCAAAGGTGGTCCTTACCGGCTGGATGCAGGCCACACAGTGTATCAGGTCTCCGAGGCTGAGAAAGATGCGGTCCCCGAGGAGGTGAAGAGAGCTGCGAGAGAGATGGGCCAGAAAGCCTTTCAGCAGAGGTGAGTGGTCCCCGGTGCCTCTGGGGCAGCGTCGGCCGCTGTGGTGAAGTGTCACAGTGGACCCTGGGTAGACCCAGACCTGTGTGATTCTCCGCCTCACACAGCAACTTGGACCACAAATCCAGGGCCACCTCCCTCTCTGATGGAGACAGTCAAGTGAACAGAATCTCCCACTCTTTCTACTCAGGCTCATTTAAACGTATTGATTACATGTGATCATATAGAGGAAGAAATTAAACACATGAGAAAGTAAAACGAAAAATATTTCTCTTAAGAGAAACTGAAACCCAAATCAACCCATCCACATCTGTTCCTCGGCCACATGCAGAATTCAGATAACTCTACGTGGTTGGCCCTTTCTGCCGTCAGAAGTCTTATAGATACACACACACACACACACACACACACACACACACACCCTGCTGAGTGCTGAAGTCACGTGGCCCGGAGGCTGTGCCCTCTGGCAGTGCAGAGAAGGGTAAGGTCAGTGGGCTGATGTGGGGTGAGGCCTGAGATCAGCCGGCGTTTGGACATTCCAAGAAGGGAAAACCAAGTGAGCAGAGGCACCAGGGTAGGATGAGCAGAGTGTCTATAGTGGAGGAGCCGCTGGAGGTGCTGGGGAGTGAGGTTGCCAATCCAGGGGACAGGGTACCAGCTGGGGGTGCTGGGGAGTGAGGTTGACTGCAGAGGCCTTGTCAGTGGGGGGAGGCCTTGGAATCTGGGCCGACAAGCCTGTGGCTCTCAGACATTCTGAACCACTTGGATCAGAACCACCTAAAATAATGAGAAGAAGCCACGTGATGCTTTCACTAGACAATCCACGTGTGTTCCTTGGCTAAAAGTGAAAAATGCCAAAGGACCTGCAAGCTCTCTTTTGGGACTGAGGGCGTTGGTAGCGGTTTGGGAGACAGATTTACATTGCCGCGCCCTGTGAAGGAGCTGGGTGCAATTCCAGAAAGCATGTTCCAGCGTATGTGAGTTCTGAAATTCCTCCCACGGAGAACATCTGGTGTTGCATTCTGTACTGTACTTATACATCCTGCAAGTAAACAGCTCAGAACAATGGGGACAAAAATGCAAGTCCCTCCCGCCACACCCTCAGGAAAGCCTGCAAGCCTTAGGACCCCCGTGCACTCAGCAGGTAGATAAGACAGAAGTGTTAACTCTCAGCCCTTCTGCTGGCTTCCCTGGAGACCTTGAACAATTGATTTATCCTCGTTGGACGTCAGTTTGTTCTTCTGGTGATAGGTGACTTCCCTCCCCTTCCTCTCAGAGGGGTTATGTGGGCAAATAACTATGTTAGGCATGAAAGCAGTTTCAACTTCTCAAAAAAAGATGGGAGGAATTCTATAATGCAAGGTCTCGTTAGAATTAAAATACTGTTCTCCACCGAAAACTAGGCACAGCGCTGTAAATCAACTCTATTTCAATAAAATGAAATAAAAATAAAAGATGGCTTTACATTTCATATAAACAAGTAAGCATTTATTTAGGAAAAGAACTGAATAATTAGATACACATCATCCTCTCCTCCCCAATTAATGATTGCCTGTTGTTTCCACACTGCAAACCTCACAAGTCTAGTCTCAATTTTTGTGCAAGTGAACAAATGGCTAGAATACTTTGACACACACATAGTTCTCAGGGAGGCAGAATGACCTTGAAGTAGTGCTTGGTACAAGTATATATACAACCCCTCCTCCGATTTCCATGGTAGCGGGAAGGAGCCTGGGTTCATTAAGGACCGTTGCCCCACAGGCAAGAGAAGTTTAGGAGCATCTGTGATGAGGCAGTTAAACTTAGTAAAGAGGAAAATTTAGTAGTAAATTTAGTAGGGAGGAAAGAGAAAAAATGGGGAAGGGAGTAAGTGAGAACGCCACATACCTCTACTAAATGCTGCCAGGAAGAATCTAAGTCCAAGTTAAAGAATACCAGAAGGTGATTGAAATACAGCGGAGGTGGGCGAGGGGATGGGAAAGGAGAAGGCGAAATAAAAACAGACATGGAAACCCTGAGAAAGACAAGACGTAGCCAAACAGACAGAATAATGGGGCTTTCTACTTTCAGGTTGTAAATACTCCCATCTGATGAGTATTCAACTTAGGATGGCTAAATATTTTTCTTTAACTTTTTATCATGAAACTTTTCAAACAGAAACAAAAGTAGAGAAAACCATGCAGTGCACCCTGTGGACCTGTCCCTCCAACATCAAGAAGAAAAATCTGAATCCACTCCCCAGTCCCCGCCGCTGGGGTATTTTTGAAGCAAATCCAAGGTTGTCTATCTGTTTCTATTCAGATTTCGATCTGAAATATTGAAATGAAATATTTCAGAGCATATCTCTGAAATATTTTATTTTAAAAAATTAAAACAATATTATTATCATGTCTTTAAAAAGTAGTAATTCCTCACTGTCATCTAATAATTAGCTTTAAAGCTATTTTGCAATTCTAGACATAGGCAGAATGAGGTCAAGTTCCCCCATGTATACTTTTATAGCACCCTGTGCCTTTTCTCCATTGTTCTTATCACTCTGTCCCGTTATGTTATTATCTGTGTGAGTAGCTGATTCTTCTCCACTGCAAGTTCCTTGAGGGCAGGTATCTTGCCCTCTAGTATTTCCAGGTATCTACACCCAGAACCTGGTACGTGGCAAGCACTCGGTACATATTTGTGGAATGAATAATACACACATGAGCACAAGCAATGGCATCACCCTTTAATACTCAATTCTGAGACTGGCTAAAACCAGACTGACAGCCAGACCTCTCCATCACCCCAGAGGTCCACCAAATTGCCTTGAAGATGGCTTCTTGACATCATCAACATAAGAGCATTTAGTTAGCATTCATTTGTATCTGTATTGCTGGTTCCTATATATCAAGAATCGATTAACTCAGGAAGAATAACAGAGGTAGACAAGTATAAGACGTGCATAAAGCAGAACAGAAACATTAAACCAATAAAACGTGAGTGAAACCGATGGCGAGGTACTTTTATGCGCTCCGGAAAGTGTTTGAGGTGGGCACCAGCTGTGGAAATCGTGCCCACTACCATTTGCAAAACTAATCAGCCTCAAACAGTAGATCTCAGCCTATGTTTGTTTTCTTCATAACTGATCCAAAATTATAGTATTTAAGTCTGACCTGTACGAAAAAGTAAAATGAGAACGAAAATTCCCAGACTCTTACGTAACAGTAAATACACCCTTTAAGGATATACTGTGCCAACAAAATGCAGTTAGTCCACACAGATTACTAGGATGTGGAGCAGCTGTGCCCTGCAGTTGATCAGGGTTAAAGCAGCAGAAAGACATATTTTCAGCTAGTTTTGTGGGCTTGAGAGTATTAGCACTGGGAGGCTTGTCTGATCCAGAGGCTAAAATTTCCTATTTCCTTTCCCCACTCCCTGCCTCGGTCTTCATCTTTCGAAATGTTATCAGCTTTGAACACCTTGTAGGTGATCTTTCTGAAAGCTGACCCAAGTTGGAATATGATTTCCAGATTTCTTCATAATTAGAACAGCATGTGGTATGTTTTGGATGCAATGTGATCGCACCAGAGGTAGCCCTGTAACTGGACCTAATTCTCATCTCTCTGCAAAGACCAGGGGTCTTACCAGCTGCCTGGCTCCTTCCTTGATGTGTGTGTGTGTGTGTGTGGGTGTGGTGTGTGTGTGTGGGTGTGAGTGCATTTTCCCACTGCTAAGGACTAGCTGTGTCTACACACTTTGTCTAATCTCCCTTCTTTGGAAAAGTACTCATCTCTCTTCTTCGGGAGAATGCATACTGGCCCCCCAGGGATGAAGAGAGTGGAAGCATATTCTGTAGAATTCATTGTACCAGCTTCTGTACAATGACGCTTGAAGCTTGAGACATAACTTAATCTAATGAAATTTCATAGAGAGATTTAAGAGATTGCCCAAACTAAACATAAGCGGTATCATTAGGAGGTCAAGTCCTGTACACATATTCCCTTTTGTCCTTCAGAGCGGAGAGTAAATTAGATGTAGAAGGACACTTTGGCATGTCACCTTGGGAAACGACCATTCACGTATCATTAACCTTTCAGGTCTTTATCTTTTGATAGCCAGTGTTATCAAAGTTCAATCCAGCAGCGTTTATCGCATGCCACTGCGTATCAGGCATTGTACTGGTTCTGGAGACTCTAAGAAAAATGGGACATGTTCCTTCCCCAAGAGGATTAGAAGAGAGAGTATCAGAGAGCATCACATGTAGTAAAGGTATTTTTCATTAAGTTTTTGGCTCAGGTGTCCACACATGTACACACACCTGTGTGTAAACATGCATTTTTATCTGCTGGATCTCAATGTAAAGGATATTTCCTACTGTGGAAAATAAAGTTTGAAAAACACTATGATAGCACAAAATAAATATATGTATTAAAAGCGATAAAGTGCATAGGTTCCATTGTAGGTATCTGTAGAAGATACGTGAAAGAGAATCAAGCAAGACTTCCTAGGATGTGGCCTTGAGCTGGGTCTTGACCCTCGAGTTGGCGTTAGGCAACCCAGCCAGGTGGTAGGGCCAGAATTGCACGTCTGCCCCATGAGAGTCAAAGCCTAACATGTGATTCCAATAAGCCTCTAGTGCTGTGCCCTGAGATGGATGCATTCTTCCCAGTGCCCGGCCCGGCAGGGAAGAATAGAGGCCATTCATCCTCTCTGAGCATTTGTGGTTTCTGTTCCAGCCCAAGGCAGTAGAAATATACTCTTGGTAAGCGTTTCAGCTCTGCACCTGGGATCTGGCATTGCATGCTTGCACACGCGTGCGTACACACACACACACACACACACACAGACAGAGCAGTGTAGAAGACTGTGGTATGGTTAGACTTTTGAGATATGCATTCACCATTCCCTGTCCTGGTATCAGCACCCTTTCCATTCATAGAAATTTCTAGGAATGTGTGATTAAATTAGTGTATTATGGACACGACACTACAAAACCATCTACTTATGATTAAAGATCCTGCGTTTTCAATAATTCTGAGTCTTATTTGTATTTCAGTCACTCATCTCAGTTTATTTCAAGCATCTGTTCTGCTCAGTATCATGCTAGGCACCGGGCAGATAAAGATGAGAAAGACCGAAGGAGCAAAGAGTCCAGCTGGGGAGACAGGAAGCAGACACAACTAGAGCACAGGTAGCAACCGCTCCGATAGACATAAGCATGAAATGATATGAGAGCACAGGAGACAGACCTGAAGATCAGAGCAGGCTTCCTGGAGGAGGTGATCATTGATTTGAGCTCTGAGGAGTTTGTGGGAGTGAGTAGGCAAAGAAGCAGGGAAAGGCACTCTGGATGAGAGAGAAGCCCAGGCAGGGCTCGAAGGTCCTGGGCACACGGTGTGTTCAGGAAACTGTGAGTGCACTGACGGGGCTGTAGCAGAAGGAAATAATGAAAAACGATAAAAGGAAACACTATACTGGCAGGATAGAATTTCAAAGCTACAATAATATTAAAACACAACTATCCTAACAAAAACACACAGTCGGCAATTTCAGAAAACTCTTGGATTTTTTACGTAGCAACACATTTATTTGCATTCTTTGGGTCTGAACTGTTACCCTGGTCGACCAGATTAGATGTCCTGGATCTTAAAAAGCAAGCCATGGGATCTCTCAAGGAATCTGCCACATGAACAGACCATGTGCCAGCATCGCGGCACGCCTCTGGGATATAGCAACAGTGTGCTCCAGGGCTGACTCAGACAGGCTCGTGTGAGCCAACCACGTACATTTCTTTCTAACTCAGGGCTCAGGGGCCTCACTATTGGTAGCTTAAAATCGATCACCAGGGAAATCAGCAAACACTACAAAGCAGGGCTTCTTTTCCCCTGCAGGGCGACTTGTTAACCATTTCGCAGCACATCACTGTACACACATTCCTCTCTTTTGAAACTTTCACGGGAGACATCACTTCTTGCTTTTTCTCCCCAAAAGCAAGAGTTACCAAGGAGTTTGCTACAGGGCTGGCAGTAGATGAATGGAAGTGAAAGACCCACATGGACGTGATTTCAGCTGCTGTCTTTTTCACCCTCTGATTTTAGGTTAAAAGAGATCCAGATGAGTGAATATGATGCTGCAACCTACGAAAGGTTTTCAGGTGCTGTTCGACGGCAGGTGCACTCCCTCCGAATTATCCTGGATAATTTACAGGTAATCAACATTTATGGACCAAGAAAATAATCTAGGCCACCTCACCTTTCCTTCTGTCCAGAAAGCAGTCATGTGACCAGCAGCCCAAAAAGGCATCAGACTCCCCGATTTCCCTCATATAGACCTATGAGCATCTCACCTCTACTAGAAGTCCACAAGTAGAATTCTCTTCCTACAAATCATTCTATTGTGAATGACTCTCCAGGCAATGAGGGGAGCATTTTGAATCATCCAGGCTGAGCATCCTCGATGCACCCTGGCCCCTCCTCCTCCAGCCCCCACATTGCCAGCCTCTTTGCAGTTTCACAGCCTGGTCCCCTCTGAACTAGTTAATGTTACTGTTGCCCATAAAAAAATACTAAGATGCTTCAATATTTCTTAAGCAAAGATTTGTTATGTGGAGATTTTACACTTGAGATCGTGTTCTGACCACTTTGTACAGGTAATTAAGGAAGGGCTAAGCATTCTCTAAAATCACAAATGACATAAGATCGCTTTGCCTGGAGAGAGAAGCCTCATTTCGGGGGAGAAGGGGCAGGGCTAGGAGCCCAGCTGTGACATGCTTCATTCTGCTCTGGAATCTTCTGTTCCTTTCCTTGAGTGTTTGAGGTCAATTGCTTTCAGTCATGCCCCTTCCCTCTTTGGTGCCTGATTTCGGTGGTTCTTTTGAGGGGATATTTTATTATTATTCACTAGTTATTGGAGGTAGGTTTTCATGATGTACTTTTTAAAAACTTTGTATTTTTTTTTCTTGAAATATAGTCAGTTCTCAATGTTGTTCAATATCTGGTGTACAGCACAATGCTTCAGTCATACATGAACATACATGTATTCATTTTCATTTTCATATTTTTTTCACCATAAGTTACTTCATGATGCACATTTAATCCATCATCTTAACTTCAAACTGAGAAAGTCTCATTTTTAAAAAGCTCTAAACTGCATCAAGAGATTAGGAAAAGTATCGTCATTTCCAAAGGGAAAGGTCTTCGTAATGATTAACGAGATGCCTAATTTCAAAATCTATGAAATGTAAGACTTAAGCTGTTTGCTTTTTTACAAAAAAAATTCATATGCAGTTATTTAAGATAAAACACCTCAAGATTTTATGCAAACTATGTAAACAACATAACGTTGAATGATTGACTTTTCTTCCATAGTCACTCACTTGGCAAGTGCTCATTGCCCTGGGCATTGAGGGCAGCTTCTGGGTGGGCTCTGAGCTCCAGGGCAGGGCAGTAAGCGAATAAAAGCCAAAGTGGGTGGTTCACAGGAAATGAGGTGCTTATATACGACTGAAGAATGAGTATGGTTCTGTCATTCATTCGTTTCTTAAGTTCATGATGCACACCAGGCATTAGAAATAGAAAAATCAAATGCAGCCCCTGTCCTCAAAGAAGGAACTTAAAGAAGACAAATACTCAGTTTCCTAAGTTCTGCAGAGAAGTACGTGCATGAATGAGCTGATGAATGAGAAGAGGCTTCACGGAGGATGTAATGCTTGAGTTCACTCTTGAAAGATGCTGAGGAAGTTTCCAGGCAGTTGAGAAGTCAAGGCATTCCAGACAGAGGACGCAGCACATACAAGTGCACGGAGGCATGGGAGAGCACACTGAGTTCTGAGAAGGGCGTTTTGTTCCATGTGACTAAGACCATGTACATGGTGGCAGACGGTGCAAGGGAGAAGGCTGGCCCAGTCGTGAGGACCAGCTTGTGACCGGCACTGGATGCCATGAGAACATTGCACAAACAGGCCATTGGAGGATTCCCAGTAGTAGAAGGGATACAAAAATACACTTTTAATTGAAGTAATCAGAATCCTTATCTGCTATTAGTTAATGTCTTGATTGGTATTCACTGGGCACAAGGCTATAGTTACTTTTACAAACATCTTTGCATTAAATCCTCACATCAACCCTTTAAGATAAATGACATTATATTTATAAGATCAGCCAAAGGAAGAAAAATCAGACCCACTGCTGTGACTTCTTAAAGTAGGGACAAATTAAGCCTGGATGAGAATTAGGGTTAACGTTAAGGAATGACTCTTCTGCTAAACACCTCAGCGATGAGACCAGTATCAGACAACCATGTCCAGTTTTGCTTCCAGCTTTCAAAGAGAGACATGAAAGGAAACTATGAAGGACTCAAGGAAAAGCAACAAATAAGATTAAATAGATGGAAAAGAAGAAATTGGCACCCCAAAAAACCATAAAGGGATTGGGATTAATAACTTTCTAAATATCCTCAAATAGTGTAAATAATTATCTCAGGGAAGTTATCATTCTCTCTTCCTCTGGAAATCTGAAGAAGAGAAAATAGGCTTAAATCATAGCAAGAAAGAGTTTTAAAATATAAGAAAGGAAATAAAAGTGATTTAATCCTTAAATAAGTACCTAAAAAGGATGTGGAACGTCCATCTCTAGAAATCTTTACAAATAACACCAGTGTTTTAATAATAGCGAGCATTTATTGAGCAATTACCATGCCTTACATTATTAGCATCATCATCAAGATCTCTTCCATCATCATCATCATTATCATCAAAATCATTATCACTTAGTGGCTAATAGTGCCGGCTCTGGAGCCAGACAGCCTGGGTTCTGTAAAATGGGAAAAACAGATAATTGGGCAGCTATTAAGATGAACGAAGATGATACATGTAAACCATTGAAAAGAATGCCTAGCATATAGCATTCTCTACAGAAGCACTGGCTGCACCATTCCCTTCATTGCACTTGCTAATATTCATCAGCCTGGACTGCAGGCCAGGTACCTGGTCAGGTACTTTACATTCATTGTGCTCGTTAATCCTTACAACCACCAGTCAGTATTATTTTTTACATTTGATAGATGAAGAAACTGAGACACAGCCGTCATCTCAACTTTTAGTGTGGGAACTAAGGATTAAAAAGATGACGTAGCTTGTCCTAGGTCCCTGTGGCTGGTAAACCAGATGTCTGAGCCCAAAGCTCAGGTCTCTATTACCTGTTAGGCCTGTTACCTTCTTCCAACTCAACAATTCTGTGAAAAGCTTAATTCTCACATATACTCTTATGACATTTTGCACTGTTATCCAAATGCAAACCCAGACTCCTCATCTGGTGTTAACTAACGTCTTGATTGGTATTCACTGGGCACTAGGCTATAGTAACTTTTATAAACATCATTGCATTTAATCCTGACATCAGCCCTTTAAAATAAATGCCATTATATGTACAAGATCAGCCAAAGAAAGAAAAGGCAAACCCACTACTGTGACTTCTTAAAGTATTTTCAAGTGTTTCCCTAACTGAATCTTTGTTTTTAAGCCATTGAGGTGTTATGCTCAAGCGGCCCTTCCACTTCTCAATGTAGAAAGATAATGCCAGTTGAAAACACAGCTACTGACCAAGGATAGGCAGGGCCTCATGGGGACTATGTCTTAAGATTGCAGCCAGAACAAGAGAGCCTTGATGTGGTCCCCTTTGGGCATCTCCTGCCAGTCCTGTGTGGCTCTGATTGACTAATAACGTCCAGCTATTTTGAGGTTGTTGAGTAATCCCAGTAACCATGGGTGTTTCCTTGGTGAAGAAAGTCTGGCCAGGGCCTAGCAAATCATCACTTGAGGTGACTTCCCAAAGCCCAGCCGCAGGCCCACGCACTGGTTCCGGGCGGCTGGGCGGAGGTCTGAGGAAAGGGAATGTCATTGCCATTTATGTTAACATGGCTTCAGCCTATGCCTCTGATGTGTCACGTGTCACTCTTCAATTAAGACAGCTATTGGGGGTGGGGAGGGTATAGCTCAGTGGCAAAGTGCATGCTTAGCATGCATGAGGTCCTGGGTTCAATGCCCAGTACTTCCATTAAAAATAAATAAATAAACTTAATTACCTCTCTCCACTGCCCCACCAAAGAGGCAGCTGTCACCACTTACCTTCCTTTGTTTCTTGACCGGATTCTTCACACAATACCATAGAGTCTTGGCTATCAGACCCCTTATGAAGCAATGGCAAGAATTTTCTTATTAGAATAGTAGATAACTTCAGTTAGACTTGGTTCAGAATCTGAATCTCTGATTCTAGCTTTCCCTAACCAAAGAAGCTGTCCATTTCTACAAAAAGCCACTGATTTTAATCATATCTTCTCTCCAGGGTTTTTTTCTAATCTACAGTCATTTCATCCTCAGGCTAATCTTAATTAGCCTTTCTCTGATTGCTTTGCCTAGCATGGTGTCTCCATGAGCCAACAGTTATGTTCGTTTTTTCCCCTTTGAACCTTTAGTGGTTCAAAATGAGCTTGTGTTCAGATAAACGGGGTTTTTGAACACACTGACCTGTGACATGCATTGTGCTGGGCACTGAGGGCACAAAGATTAATAAGATATTGTCCCCGCACTCAACAAAGGTTGAAGTCTCAGGGGCGGGAAGACAGGCACCGTCACAGATCATTTCAGTTTAATATGTAAGCGTCTTGGTGGAAGGATGAATTGGACACAGTGGACGCCCAGAGGAAAGGGCTTCTAGGATAGACTTTGAAGGAAAGGATCCATGACCTGGGTCTTGAAGGACTCATGGGTATTAACCAAAGGAGGGTGAAAATAGTGCCTGCCCAGCAGGGGGCGCAGCATAGATGAAAGCCTAACACCGCGGTCTCAGGTGTGAGCCGAGGGCCCACCAAAGGCAGGGCACCACTCAGTGTGAAATGCAGAAGCCTTTGAGGCTGGGAGGCAGGCAGGTGCCAGGTAAGGGACTTTATTGTAAGCCCGCACTTTGCTGTATGTAAAAATTGGAAAGTGTTTCCCTATTCCTTTTACTTAGTCTGTAATAACTGTATTTCACCCAGTAGACAGTAACTGAATATCTATTTTGCCTAAGGGTTCTTGACCTCAACGATTAACCTTCTAGTAAAGAAGACATGTGCATAGTTATAACAGAAGCCACAATATGGTAAATGCCACAGAAAGGTTTTTTAACAAGGTGCTATGGTTATGTAGACAGATGTGTGAGCAGCTTCTCACA